CATCTACGTGCTGTCTTTCAGGTTTTCTCCTCCACTACCCTTTCAGACTTTTCTAAATACTATTGTGCTACCTCAGTCCTTCTGCTGTTGTTGCCATATGTGCAGATAACATCTGTACAGAACAGGCCACAGGCTAACCGCACAGGTGTGCGATAGTGACAGAGAGACAGAGAAGTGATTTAAAGGCGGTGTGAAGAAAAAGGAAAACCAGAACTATCACCAAACTCTTGCTCAGATGGAGAATGCGGAAGATCACACAGTAAATCAGGTCTCCCCTCTGTAAGTAAGTAACAAATAACCATCATTCAAAACAGGGTAGCCTATCTTAGTATGTGCTTTGAAAGGAACAATGAAAGTAATATATTCTTAAAAAAAATACTCCAATATTGCACCTCAGCTGCCCCTACTCACCCACTGTTCTATGGCGTTGTGTAAAGGTTGACACAGGTTCTCCTTATCTCAGTGCGTAGTCCTCAGTCAGAAGATAAAAATGTCAAATTGACTGTTCAAGTACTAGTTTGTTTGGAGTTGCCAATGCATCAGTTGTGATTAAACAGACAGCTGCCCCCAAAACAAAGCCAGTCTCTATAGATTTCTTTCCATGACACTGACACTTCTATAGACACCTTTTCAGGGACACTGATAAAGAAATGACATTCTTCAGGAAGGCAGCGACAAGACCGCTGTATTGGCAGACTGAATGTCAGTTATGGGCCAACACCACTGACAGACTCTGACTGGTTTTCCTTCTCTCCACCATTGCCGACTCCAGGGCCAGAAGCCCAGAAGCTCTGGCTCTGGGATTGACTGAAATCCACAGCTGAGCAAGGAGGACTGAGGGATAACATAACATCACTTTATTAGCCCTATACAATTTCTTGCATTAGGAATTTGTCTTTTTGCATACCCCAGCTTGCTCTCCATGAGTACCCCTGGAGAAGTTGGGGTTAAGGGCCTTGCTCAGGGGCCCAACGGAGTAGGATTCCTCTGCTGGCCGCAGGATTTGAACCAGCAACCTTCCAGCCACAGGCACAGATCCTTAGCCACAGAGCCACCACTCCGCCCTTATCACTCAGTGATAATGAGTGACCACTGAGTATCAATCACACAGCCAGCTCCTGTCCGGGAACCCTTTTACACAAGGCAAGTTTCCGTCTAAATGCAGACATTTTAAAAAACATTTTGCACAATTAACAAATCAGAAGGTGAATCCGTGGTTGGTATGTACTGTCAGTTAGTGACATTTTTGGCTTCAACAGATTTACAAGACATAACACGTGAAGGGTGATCTATGAGACCCGCTGGACTGTGGCTCTGCAAGGCCAGTGCTGATGCCATCTTTGAATTAGGCTGTGAGAGGGAGAGAGCACAGTAACGCCAACGCCACAAGCTCAGCAATGCCTGGCAACAGAAGGGCATATTACAAGACACCCACTGACATGCCAGACAGCTTCAGCTTGTACGGTTTGTAGAAACACCATGCAAATAGTAACAGCTGTGGGACAACAAGGTACAAAATAAATGAAACTGTGAATTCCAAACATGAAAACAATCACTTTAAAAGCCCAGATCTGGTGTGTGACTGGAGAGGGTCAGGAGTATGTCAGGCTATGTCTTGGGCGTTCTTTTCCTTTCCTATTCCTCTGCGCTACGTGTGAAACATGTCACAGGACTCCTGTCCCTTCTCGCTGGTGTAGGATGGTCAATGTGAGGAGCTCTGCCAGGGTGAGGGCGCGATGGGAGTGTCTTTATTTCCTCCGCCGAAGCTGCCCCCACCTCTCCTCATCTGCACTGTCATTCAATATCGGCCACGTGACCCACCGACTGCTAAAAGGGGGCTTTATGAAGCCTGATGTAGCATCTCCTGGGCTCTTACTGGTATCCTAGCAACTGAGCTATTCATTGCCTAGCAACTACAGGATACCGAGAAGGGGGCTAGGGGGTAGCCTTTCTCCTTCTTTGACTTTGTGTGTGCTGGGGCAAGATGGTCCAGACTGGCAGCCGGCCCTCTGAGTGCTGAAGAGATGGGATGTCATCTGCTTTGAGTAGTGTGTTCCAGACCCCCACAACCTTTAGCGTAAAGAGCTGTCTCCTGTTCTCGGGCGTAAATACACTGCCCCTTAGCTTCCAGAGCCTTTTCAGCAGCTCTGTGTGGTGCAATAGTCAATCAAGACGGGAAAAGACACCCTAAGTAGAAATGGCAGCGGGGAGTGGCTTATGGTAGAGTGATAAAACACAGTGATGAAAAGCAGAAATATTATAATAATCCAGATGAAGTCAGATACTTGTACATGATGCTGCTTAGCTTCAGGGCTTTTATATACAGCACGTGCTGACATGGCCTCCGCAACGTTGGTTTAAATTACTTCCAACTGAAATATTAATGTCTGCATAAATATTTCATCTGTATTGAGGGCTTTCCTAAAGACAAATTGCACCCCGAATCGCACAGTCATTGCAATCTACAAACTGCAGTTCTTTCTGCGATATTCAGGTCGGATTAACCAGTACTTTTCTCCCCAAAGGCGAGACTGGACAGTTCGTTCTAGGGCAAGGGTGGTGTGAAGTACAACTAAGCCAGTGGTAAAGCAGTTTTTATTTTTTAGCTCTAAAAAACGTATATTGGAAACATGCAGTGAGCATTACACGTTTGGCTCTCACCCCAGCACATGGGGTGTCTTTGTTACCCGGCACTCGGTAGACACCCGGGAGCAGAGCCGCCACGGGGCCCGCGCTCGCTTCACACTCGGCGCCTTTGTGGCACGGCCGCGCGCCGCCATGGGCGTGCACCTGCGGCACAGACTCCGCGCTTCAGGCAGAAACATTTCATCAGGAAAACCGCTGTAAAGGGTCCTTTTATAGAAACGTGATCTATATATATAGGGTTTTTACAATCGATGCTGACTGCTGACTTCTGCTTGCTTAGAGGGCAAGATAATGGAGGGGACGTGACGGCTAACGTACGGAAGAGCAGATTTTTATATCGCGACTTTATTTTTAATTTAGTGAAACCGATGCATTATAATAGATTTATTATGAAAGAAGAATACGGGAGTGTCTCTAATGAAAAATTGTTGAATTATTAAAAATTATAAACATTAAAAGCTATGGAAATTGGAGCCCAGTCAGAGACAGCGAGGTTTCACGGGAACAAAGGATGGGTAGCCTACT